ATTCGGCAAACACGTCATATCTCATAATTCACCATCCCAGCATAATGCCATCTTGGGATAGGCAATTGCCCTTGCCATCATTTACATAGATGATCATAGATGGCATGGAGGTACTTCAATTTTTTGAAGGGCTCCCAATAAAATAACAAGATCCTTTTCCGCGCGGGTATGGCCTGTAGTGCATGAGTGGGAGAGCTGCTTGGAAGAAGTCGGAAGAGATGACTCCTCAGGAGACTCCCAGCACGAGGTGTCAGCCGACTTCTGCCAAACCACCGGTGGGATTGGAGGTGGATTGACATCTACACATTGAGACGGTTGATGTCTCCAACCCAATTGAAGGGGGTTACTTAGAGAAATGTAGAGAGCAAAGGTCTCTGTGCACTCTGCATGGTGAGATACCCTGAAATATACAAACCGACAGGAAGCGAAAGGTAAAACGGTTAAATAATCCCAGGTCCTGCTACACTATTGGATCATCAAAAAACAAGGTCGAAACCATCCAGCAAAGGAAGGCGATACTGGTTTTCGGCTAGCCTCTATCATCGTATGTTGCAAAATTCGAATTCAAACAATCTTCCATTTCTACCTTCCAAACCTCTGAATTGGACGGGTCCACAAACAGCTCTACAAATGTCTACCAATTTTCCTACCAATTTGTAACGTTTGTGGCTCCAAAACTCTGTCTTTCGCCCAGTGCGCCCTGAAAACAGGGCGCCCCTGCAGTGCCAACCGCAGAAGCGGTTCTGGCAGCCTCAAAGGGACGGCGAAATAAAACGGCCGGTTTTAGGTCAAGTCAGCCTGGAGAGGTCCAAAATACGCTGATCCTTGGGGTTCCCGGGCGCTTTACCATCTGTAGTGTACACCATCTGTAGTGAAACGCATTTAAAGTCGATATGTGGTGTACATCCATCTGTAGTGAACATGTTGAACTTGGCCAAGTCCTCTCCAAGGAACTTGTACAGCAAGCAGGCACGCAGAAGTTCCACACACCTCAGGAGCTGGAACGCCTCCATTCCATGGGTTCATCATAGTATCGCCATGAACCATCATGAACCATGGTAATTTGAAGGGGAACAGCCCATGGTGGGGTCAAAATCATCTACCCTCTGGTAATTTGTTACATAGCTATTGAAAATGGCCCAATCGAAATAGTGGATTTTCCCATTAATAGCATGGTGATTTTCCATAGTTATGTTAGTTTACCAGAGGGTAAATGACCATTTTCCAGTGGTTAAATCACCATTTTTGATAGGTAAATACCTTTTTTGATAGTTAAGTCACCATTTTCCAATGGATTCTAATAGTATGATATGTGAAGCCAATCTTCTGTAGACGTTGGATTCCATCGGATTCAACACAACGCCGCGGAAGCTTGCGGAAGCTGGCGGTTTCGCAACCCCTGATAAGATATTAATAAAATCCTGGAAGAAAAATCATGAAATGGCTGAAACATCCTGAAACATCCTGAAACCTGGGAAAAGGTTATCCTGACCTTGAGTGGATTTCCCTCAGCCTTTCCAGTTCCTGCTCAAATGGTCAATGGTACTGACGCTTGGTCGTGTAAGAAATTCACTTCAACTAAAATCATGCGTTGGCAGCTATACAACATTGTATATATATATATATAATCTTCAAACATCTTGAAAATGTATAAGCTTAGATTTATCACAAATCTCTTAAATATCCATTAAACATATATATATATGCCAGCAGATCGCTCGGCTTCATTCCAGCACATCTTCGCCACCATGGGCTGAGGTCAACGCTTCCCGGCGTCCTTCAGGTAAGAGCAATGCTCCACAGAGATGGTTCCTGCCACAGTTGGGCCATGTGAATTTCTGTCCTCATTGGTTGAACTGATCTGTCAAAATAAACATGGGGATAATTGGATATATATTGGATATCTCTATATATATATATATACATGTATATAGATATAATTATATATATATATTATATTATTAATTATATATATATATATTGGAAAAGGGATCTTGATGGATTGTCTTGGTCGGTTGAGTTGATTTCTCAAGAAAGGCAATAGGAACAAGGTCAACTTGACCAACTGGGAGACTTACGTCCAGGGTGGAATCACAAATAAACATAATCTCTCAAGACCATGAATGAATGATGTATAATCAACAGAACCTCAAGCATAAACATCTGCATCTATTCATAGTGTATATTGCTGTGCTAATATGTTTTAACACGGTTTAAAATACAAACATATATATATATAACACTATATGCCAACGTATATACTACATACACATACATACACATATTGTACTGTATGCGTTTATATTTGGTCGCTTGCACACCATCATATTGGCCCGCACCTTGGTACATGAACTGCAAAACACTGCGCCATACCTGTTCAACTGGCGAGTCGTTGGGGCCCTTGGGGTACCGTTTCGAAAATCAAACATGATCAAAGCATCCAACAGCTGGGATGTTTTCAAAAAAATGAGTATCCAACTGTTCACCTGAAGAGATCCTGAAGTTCGCAAAAAGGGTGAACTGAAAACTCCACTACCAGCTTTGGTGGCCTCCATGGCCCCCCAAACTCAGTCTGATGGGATACCTCTTCCCACCAGCTTCCCACCAGCTTCCCCGTTTGTTTCGACGGCAATTGCGTCACCTGATCAACCTGGCTTTTCTCACCTTGCTACTTTTCAGGAAAAATGACTGCCAGAAGGTATAAACCCACAAAAACAGAATGAATTATGACATGTTTTGATTTCCCCATTCAAAAAGTTAAAAGGAAACCAAGAAATCCATAGGAATCTGTGTTTGTCTGAAAATAAGCTACCCATGGCTACACCACACGTAGCCTCCTGGGAAATCCGTTCATCCACACGGATCAAGGCTGCCGAGATCTTCTCCTGGTGTTGATGGGTTTTGGAGGCCCAAACCATGGACTGTTGACCACGATTTTGACCAAAATGGATCGCCATATGTTGTAACATTAGGGCCATATCAATCATTCTTGGTGATGTAAAAAAACAACCAACTACAGTATATAATCAGTAATAATTACATAAAATAATCAACATTTCTATATGTTTCCAGGCAATTCTGTACGCATAGTTGTTGTACCCGCTCTACTCATATTTCATTGATGACATTACACCTTTCATGGGTATCATGGGACTGTATCACCCAATATAGTTTGCGATGATCACCTTGTATATTGGGCCTGTGTTGGGGTTACCAGAATATCAAAGGAGACCCCAAGATCATTGACCAAAAGACAAACTAATTATTGAGTTCAAGCCAGTGAAAATGGAAAGTTAAGCAGCAATGAATATGAACATCATTCCAGAGTTGCTTTAAGGGACAATTGACAGCACCCCTCCCAAACAATATCAAAAAATATCAAAAATATGTCTGTAAAATGTAAAACAACCATGGTTTCCTGCAATTGTTCCACCAATCTATCCAACACCATATGGCTATGGATCAATACCTATAGATACATTTTTAGTGGGATGAACATCCATTTACCAGCTATTTTGGGGTTCACTAGGTACCAGGGTTTTGACCCATCCCCATATCACGTCCCTGACAAACAAATCTGGCTCCCCTCATGGGACATCCATAAAAAGGCGGTCCTTGGGCAGCTCCGTCAGGGGCATCTTTTCCAGAACCTTCGTGTCAAACATGGGAATATGAACGGTATCTTAACATATCTTAACTTACCGACAAAGTACTCGCACTTAGCACTTCGATCTTGCTCTTAGCCTCGTAGCTATACTTGTCATGATTAGATTTAGAAATGAAACATAAGATATTTACCGGTACACTGGTTGGTGGTTGAGCCTTCCAGAAGAATTTGCTGGTGGGTTCAGTGGCTTCCCCTTCGAGGCGATTTTTCATGACAATCAACTGCACCACGGTCACCAGATGTCACCAGGTCCTTTGACATGTTTTCCAAATCAGGTGATTCTGGTGAAGACATAGTAAAATGGCAGTGTGTCAAAACCCTGGTACCCCTGGTGAACATCAAAATAGCTGGTAAATGGATGTTCATCCCACTAAAAATGGTATTAATAGGTATTGATCCATACCCAAATAATGTTTTTTTTAACATAAAGACACCGCGTGATCTTAGCCGCGTGGGGATTTGATCCAGAGCTTCAGCCTCAAAGAGCACGGGGCTCTGCGCCACCACCACCTTGGAGTTTAATCGCATCACCAGTAGTAGTGTGGCGGACATCTCCATTTCTTGTTACATCCTCAACGTCCTAAACAGATCCAGTAGTGACCTCGCAAAAAGCTACATGTCTAGTAGTCTAGTTCCTCTTCCGTTGAATGGTGAATGATATCTGGGATATGATCTCTGGGAATCAATGCTTCCCTTTTCCCTATCATTCCGGGTCATTGTGGGCACCTAAGTCATCAAAGGATTGCAACACAACCCTGCTATGGGATGCCACCTGATGTGTTTTTCTGCTGCCACAACTTTGGTCCGGCTCAGCAGGGTCTAGGACTTTGCGGACTTTGGATCTTTCGATATCTGAACGTTGAGGAAATACCATATTTGATCAATTTGATCAATTTGATCAATTTGATCAGTTGAGTTTTTTTCTTACAGTTTGATACCTGGCACTCAAGGACTGAAGGTATTCAAGCTACTAGTTGCTCCAACCACCGCCGCTGAAACTCTCTCCGATGTCTCCATTTATGGAGCCCAAGGAAGGCAGATCCAAAGATCTAGAGTCCACCATAGTCCACCCTGCTCACATATTATGAAGATGTACAATGATGTACATAGATGTACAGTAATCAGCTCAAAGGCTGGTCCCTAGCTAGCTCTTTCCCTGCCACCTTTCAACGGTGGGAAACATCTGCAACTTTGGCAAAGTCACCCAAGACACTGAACACAACGTTCTGAAATGGCTCAAACCACCCGGTGGTTCACCAGGATAATCCATCCCAACTAATTCACTGAATTTCCACCTCGCAACATATCCTGAACAGATGCCACAGAGTGGCTTGGCATGTGTTATCCATTGGTGACCACCAGCCGTTTTCACGAGCCGTCACCTAGCTACATGGTGGCCAAATATTCCTCTTCATCTGAATCATCTTCAACTCCTGGCTGGAAATGGTAAGTTTCAACAGGTTGTTGGATGGTTTTGTGTCTGATAGATGACATGGGTCAAGGTTTAGGAAGGACTGAAATTGGGTATCGCAACCAAATCCTATGTCTTGGGGTGCGCAAGTTTGATCCGTACCGGTATGAGGCTGTACGAGTATTTTGGGGTATGATATAGAATATTTATGATGTATATCAAGATATATCAGTCATACCATTCTAATTGAAATATTTGATTGTATTTGATATTTGATTCTATGTTCTTGATATATCACTTGATAATGTGTCATATGTATATAGATACACGTATATACAAAATAATAATAATAAACACCAATAATAATAATAACAACAATAATAATTATAGTAATAATAATAATATGTATATTATATATATATCCTCCTTGCCATTCCCTGGGGGGGGTTGGGGTGCCCCATTTTGTAGTGAACCAACCCCTGTCTCTACAAAATGGCTCCGGTACAGGGTCTCCATCCTACAAAATGGTCGGTCTATAACCCATGGCTCTACAAAATGGTAGTGCCTGTCACCTGTTTTGATCCACAAATATTTTGACAATTTAGTCAAAAAAATGATCAAACCAGTGCATTCATGATTTTATAAAACATATAAAAATCCCAGAGCCATTTTGTAGAGCCTCTATCTTGGCAAGACCTCAGCGTCAACTGCCTTTTTCCCAGTGCCATTTTGTAGGGTTTTTACCCTCTAGTCGTCTTCACTCCTCCTTTTCGGAGATGGATCCATTTTTTTCCATGCAACTTTTGCAGCATGAATATTTTTCTATTTTTTTGCCAACAATGTGCTGGCAATCCTTCTGAAGATGGATTTTTTTCCGGTTCCAGTATGTTCCGGTCACAAAAACGGTTCCAAAATGTTCCAAAGCAAAAACGAAGATCAGGAGAAGAATGCTATGTTGACACAGATCTTCCAGGGAACAATCGGTATCGAAGTTTGGATAAGGCTGAAGAATCCGACAAGATCCAGAAGGAACAAATTCAATCACAATTCTTTGCCACTGCTCTTTTCAACGCAATCATAAAAATATGGTCTATCTTCAGACCTACACCAGTCTACAAAATGGTTGACTCTAGGCAGCAGGCCTAACCATTTTCTAGAAAAAACATACCCCATGGGTTATACACAGACTAATTTGGGACGGCAGGGCAATTGAAATTTCCGTCCTAAAGTGTATATGAGCCAACCATTGCAAACACAAACATGCACTTACAAAATGGTACATTTATTGAAACGATGGGTTCTCTACAGAATGGCTAGATGATTTTTCTTTGTCAATGACTAATTCACATTTTTTAAAACCACCAAATCATACCCTTAAAAACATCTACAAAATGGCTTTTTGTTTGTTACAAAATGGTTGGTCTTGGTGCCCAAAAATGATCATGCCTTCAAAACAAAAATGATAAAACCAGGTAAAACCCACAAATGACTACAAAATGGTATGTCCGACCCCATTTAAGGCCACCAATTCCCATAAAATGGTTCAAAATAGGCACCCCAACCCCCCCCATTCTGTAGAGGAAATGGCAAGGAGGATATATATATATATATCATATCAGTCTAGTATATGTCAATTGATACCAACACCATGGATGTTTTGAACTTTGAAGGTCACCGTTGCAGGTCCCCACGTGACCTGAGCTCTCTTCATGCATCGGTGCCCTCTGAGTAAGTTGATCAAAGATCCTGGGGAAATGGTGCTGAGTTCCCCAACAAAAATGGCGGTTGGCTGAGATAATCTGAGATAAAAAATGAGAAAAATCTTGGGAGAATGAGAATCTGGAAGACAGAATCATGAATGATTCAGATGGTAAGAAGGGGAAGTTGCTCTCAGATGCTCTAACCAACCATACTAAGGATAATCTATACTGAGATGGTCAGGTCGTTGCAGTTCACCCAGAAACAACTTACACTTCACCAGGGGCAGAACCGCTGTAGTCCGCCCTGGCAGTAGTTTGTCAATCTTAGTCATGGCATAGAGTGCCCATTGAAAAAGACATAACTAATTACTGACATCCACTGACTATCGTCAAAATGAAGCATCCCCACAATTGATCTCAAAATTTGAGCTTGAGCCTCCAATGATGGTATTGGGGATTAAACATAGCAAGACACTTGCGTGTCCAGTGATCAAAATTGTCAAATGCGTGGGCCCCAACTCATACCCTTCGTCCCCGATTCTATATCCCCCAGCTGCTGGTGTTGAAATTTAGGGCCAATGATGCATATCTCAAAATCTAACAGTTCGGCTTAGCCACAAGTTTGGGTTTCTCTGAAATAGGGAACCAACGGATTTGTTCTTGGTTTATCATCATCTTCACCATTGAAAACATACATAAGGAATAACTAGGAATATAAATATATATATATATATATATTTATATTTATATATATTTATATATATATATATACACCCGTTTATACACCATTTTCAGACACACCCACTTAAACCAAAGCCAGAGGCATGTTGATGTGGGGCACCCATACCTTGGTTTTGATGGGCAAGTCCTTGGTTGCAGTCACCCATGATCCGTGAAGGTAGCCCTTGATGAACAATGGAGGCAATTTCGGGGGAGCCAGGTGCAGAAGCCCTTGATGTGAGTGACTTGATTTGCAGGTTACTCCTTCAAAACGAAAGCCTTTTGAAACATTCTGAAAGGATTCCTGAGCTATTTGAGCAATCTCTTGAATTCAAGGTTCACGAAAAGGACATCAACAAATTTGGGAAGGTCCCATCGCTTACCGCATGTATGTACAAAAATGATGTATACCAAATTTGGTTGGCATCGCCTAAAGGAAAATGATGTATGTGCGCAGGTATGACATAACCTTAAAACGGGGTATCAATAGATGGGAAGGTCCTATCGCTTACCTCATGATTATACAATTTCTGGAAATAAATGTCCATCCCTTACATGTTTCCTATTGCCGGAGTTCTTTGAGGTGACTGATGTATTTCTTGGTTGCGCACCATGAACAAAAACAACTCCACACAACCCAAACACCTCATTTGCAGCAGAAAGTCTTTCTTCATAGCAATCACGTACCTGGACTTGGTCGCATGTGAAACTGTGTTAAAACCAACATGTGCCAAACAAAAGTAGCCTTCCTCAAACACCACAAGGTCCGTTCACCATCGTTCACCTGGACAAAGAATCAGTTTTCTCTCCAGTGAACAAACATCATATTCACACGCGTGACACAGCAACCACTAACCACTGCCAGTGCTTTTTAGAATTGAAAGCTGGAACCACCACCATGACCATCCTGTTGGAATAAACGCTCTTTGTTGGACCTCCATTGATCGATTCTCTACAGAATGTCTCCATGTGAGCTACATACAGCATGGAAGCTCCAATTAGTTATACGTTATCCCACAACATCCCAGAACAGAGGCAAAATCGACCGGCCCTTTTAATCGGATTTCCGTGCCAATCTTGTAGGGTGCACCTTTCCACCATGTTATTAACAGGGCGAGACGAGCCACCAACATGTTGGTGCAGTTTTGGTTTTGGGCTGCAAGACCTTCAAACATCTGGATCTTTCAGCACTTGTTGCATCAAACATATCAAGATAACCTGATCTTGGATCGACTTTCCTGCCAGGTGACGGTTTCTGATGCAGCATCAAGCCTGAGAGTGTGGGAGAATTCAGACAATTCGCAGCCACAGCCGGATCGTGGTGCGTGGGTCTGATGAACTTGTCAAACAAACATCGGAGAAGTTTGGGTTAGCAAATTTTGGAATCAACACGGCATAGGAATCTAGAAAGTATATGAATAATTATGAAGATATACCCTCTGGTAAACAAACATAGCTATTGAACATGGCCATTTATAGTTGATTTACCCATTAAAAATGGTGATTTTCCATAGTTATGTGTGAAACGGTTTGAACACCTGAATCACCCACGGAAATCCATGGAACACTAATGGGTCCTGGTCCCAGCCAGTCCCGCCTTGTTGGTACTCACGAGCGCCCTTCTGCAGCAGTTTGACGGTGAAATCCTGTGCGACAGGGAAATCATCCCCAAGGCAGTTGGTACCTGCGTGTAGCAACTGCCACACTTGCTGCGCACATTTGCCATCTTCATCCGCCACACTTGCTGCGCACATTTGCCATCTTCATCCATCTTCAACATGTTCTGATGTGTGCAAGTTTGTGCGAGTATATGCGAGTATGTATCTAAGCATTCAATGTGATGCGTACTAAATCCAACAACACAACAGCCACGGTTCCTCCCAGTGTTTCCAGCCGTGCCTGCTGAATCTTTTTGCGGTTGAGTGTCTTCACGGGCATGAGGTTCACATAAGCGGCTGCCTCCCAACGGACCATGACACACTGACTCAGCAGGGGGTCCATGCCATCCCAAAGGTCATCATCAAAGGTTTCCAAGGAAGAAATAGGTGTGATACTGTACTAATAGTATCTATATATAAATTAATATATATATATATAATAGTTTTGTTGAAAGCAACAACAAACTTGGGACAAGTAGCAACTTCGCAGTCCATTTGGGATATTGCCACACACACAGATCAACAGGGGATAAGCATGGGATACATAGGACATGAGTTCGGAGCAACAACCGCGACTGCTCGGATTCTTGCTCAGGTTTTTTTGTTGGTTCTGTATGAACCTTCGGTACCTGTTCTTGTGAGGCGGTCATGCCAATGGGATACTGAACAGTTCAGAAAAAACGCAGGAAAACCCAGATACAATGGATCCATTGTCAGCAAAACAGAAAGCAACAAAAAAGAGGAACAATCATATCAATGTAGGATATGGCCAACTCAGAAGGTACAAGGCCCAATCTCGTGCCTAGTCTGTCAACAAAAGGTCACACAAACTCTCTTCCAACGATCTTATTCTTACCTGCAGAGTTCCAAACACTGATGTTGGCATATATATTCCACCAGAATAAAAGTAGTAAAATCATAGAAATTCCACCCGAACACCAATTAACACCATGAAATCTAAGAGATGAAAACGGATAGATCCGCACAACCGGGATAGTCAAGTCCTTGGGATCCATTGGTTCCTCCGGGAATCCATGGGCGCCTGGTTGTGAGCCAAGAAGGTGACGCGAATGCTGGGAACCTTCCTGGCACAAGTCTTGAGATTCACTGGAGAATATGGTGAAATATGACATATTGATTATTGATGATTATTGTATACCGTTGATGATCATTGTATATTCATGTAGCATCTGGTATGTTGACGATGTTTGTGTTTAATCATTCATTTGCCTTGTTTTTTTCATTAACACCTGCTATTCATCTATTCTATGTGATCAACTGACATAGTTTTGAAGATCTATTCTTCAACTAGATATCATGACCTTGCTAAAAACATGTTGGCCATCCGCAACAAGCCAATGACCTTCAAATTGAAGTTGGGCATCCCCTTCTTCATGATGACAAGAGATGGATATCACCAACAAGACCGACACATCTACTGTATGGTTCTTTTTTGTTTTTCGGGCAAATGAAATGGGTGATAAGACCAGTGACAGTAGTTAGTGATAAACCAAACAAACATAACAAACACACGGGTATAGGAAGAGAATTGGATGCAATGGATAAGCCAATGGTGTGGTTTCATGTACCAAACCATACATGGATTGGAACTTGGAACACAAAAATGGCATTGGAGGAATGGTCAACAATGACAAACAAATGAAGATATGATATATGTACTACCAATTGATACTAGGCTACAACAAATGATATATATAATATACACACATCATTTTAGATATAACACAAAATCTCACATTCAATAATGGTATACCATACTTATATTTATCTATATATAAACTATATAAACTATATAAACTATATAAACTATATATATATAAACTATATAGACTATATATATATACAGTATTCCATATTTATACTCCCATTATATATGCACATTGGTCCAGCACCACCATGGCAGCGCCTGAGGAAGGCGGTGGCTCGACAGTAGCGCTGGGCAGCTCGTTGTTCCACCAGGATCCGATGGCTTGAGACCTGGACACGGGCAGCACGGGATGCCGAAGGTCATGGGGAGAGTTTGCAAAGATCTGTTGTTTTTGTTCAATATAATATATATATATAATATAACAGATATTATATATAGATATTATATATAGATATTATATATAGATATTATATATATATGGGTATGGATCAATACCTATTAATACCATTTTTAGGAGGATGAACATCCATTTACCAGCTATTTTGATGTTCACCAGGGGTACATATATTACCCTCTGGTAAATTAACATAGACCCTGGCAGATAGGGGTTGGAAGACTAGTTTCCATTAGACATTGGCTATTTTCAGGGTCTATGTTTATTTACCAGAGGGTAATATATGTGTATATATAGTGACGGAGAATCACTTAGAACGTATTTTGGAAAAAAAAAATCTGAATATTGTTGTTTTTTTTACGTTCTAAGCCTTGCACTTAGAACGTCGAAAACCATACACTTAGAACGTCCAAATATCAAGATTCATCACTTAGAACGTACCGGGGATTTAACACTTAGAACGTGTCTAGGTCACTGATGATAGTGGAAAGGCTTGTGAAATCTTTTATCTCTAAGTGTTGGATCCAGCAGCTAATTCCGTAGGAAGCATAGACATAATTTCGTACCATTTGGCTTTTCCCTCCCATATGATGTGCAAATATTGGCGATCTTTTATCTCTGGAACACTATACCTTTTGGTGCTTTTTGGGGGTTCTGAGTTCTGATGTTCTAAGTGTTGGACTCAGCAGCTAATGCCGTAGGAAACATAGACATAATTTCGTACCATTTGGCTTTTCCCTCCTATATGATTTGCAAACATTGGCGATCTTTTATCTCTGGAACACTATACCTTTTGGATCCTTTTGTTGCTTTTTGGGGGTTCTGTCGTTCTAAGTGTTGGATTCAGGAACTAATTCTGTAGGAAACATAAACATAATTTCGTACCATTTGGCTTTTCCCTCCCATATGATTTGCAAATATTGGCGATCTTTTATCTCTGGAACACTATACCTTTTGGATCCTTTTGGTGCTTTTTGGGGGTTCTGACGTTCTAAGTGTTGGATTCAGCAGCTAATTCCGTAGGAAACATAGACATAAATTCGTACCATTTGGCTTTTCCCTCCCATATGATTTGCAAATATTGGCGATCTTTTATCTCTGGAACACTCTACCTTTTGGATCCTTTTGGTGCTTTTTGGGGGTTCTGACGTTCTAAGTGTTGGATTCAGCAGCTAATTCCGTAGGAAACATAGACATAATTTCGTACCATTTGGCTTTTCCCTCCCATATGATTTGCAAATATTGAATTGGCGATCCTTTATCTCTGGAACACTATACCTTTTGGATCCTTTTGGTGCTTTTTGGGGGTTCTGACGTTCTAAGTGTTGGATTCAGCAGCTAATTCCGTAGGAAACATAGACATAATTTCGTACCATTTGGCTTTTCCCTCCTATATGATTTGCAAACATTGGCGATCTTTTATCTCTGAAACACTCTCCCTTTTGGTGCTTTTGGGGGTTCTGACGTTCTAAGTGTTGGATTCAGCAGCTAATTCCGTAGGAAACGTAGACATAATTTCGTACCATTTGGCTTTTCCCTCCCATATGATTT